AAATTCTAAACATTTTTAAAGGTGTTTTTGTTCAACTTAGGTCTTCGTCCAGCTGTTTTGTACAACTATACGAGATTATCACACAGCTAAAAACTTGATTTACCTCTCCCAAGTTGAATTCTAATTTGGGGTGCAGCTAGCTCCTATCACACATAATTTGCTACCAAATCCAGTGGCCGAATACAGCCTGACTGCATCCAGGGTCCCAGGTGCACTCAGCAAGCTGTTTTTGAAAGCTGGAAAAGTTGCTTGCTGTGCATGCCTAGGACCCCAGATGCAGCCAGATTGTATTCGGCTGCTGGATTCGATGGCAAATTATATGTGATAGGACCTGGCTGCACCCTGAATTAGAATTCCACATGGGAGAGGTAAGCCAGGTTTTTTAGTGGTGCAATAATCTCCATTGTGTCCATGTCTTGGATTTAAAGTATGTATAAAACTGTACATACAATTAATAACTTTCCCCCTATTTGTCCTTTGGCAGGTCTGAATCTTTAGAAAGGTGTAAAATGATGGAAATACCATGCTAATTGTATGGAAAATGCTGATGTTACAAGAGCACTTGGGTTTCCAATGGCAAATAAAAGATAAATGAGGCAAAGAACAATGCAAAATAAAATGCATAATAAAATGGACTTTTATCAATTAATACTAAAATGAATGAGATTTTTAATAATGAAAATAATAACGCTTGCAAAATATTTCATACCCCTCCTTTAAAATACTTCTTGATGCTATAACTGACAGTTTTTCCTATCTCCCTCTCTCCCTCCCTCCATTCTTCCCTCCCTCCCTTTGGTAATGCATAACAATTTTTGAAGTGACATTTGTACTTTTAATTTACTTCCCACATAAAGGCAATCTGTGAAATAGAATAGAATACATGGAAAATAGATTGTGGAAAATTGGGAGAGGGGAGGGTGAATATTTAATTCAGAGTTCCTGACCCAAGTTCTATTATTGTCTAGTCCTCTCTGAAAATTGGACTATTTTTCCTTTGCTTTTACTCCTTTAATAAGCATTTGACATTATAAAAAAATCAAAATAAGCTCATATGCATTTTTATATAGATGTTTTTCCTTGATGGAAATTCTGGTGGAATGTAGAGGGCTCAAAGCCAATGTCTAACAGTTGTCATCTGAGCCAACTTACTTGCTTAGCTTTACCAAGTTGCTGTATCCAGGGCTAATCCAGAACATTTCCCTGTTTTATGCAGAGGATAAATTTGGTGTTCTCTGTTCCATGTACAGAAGATGACAGGAATGACAGCTGAAGTTTACTTCAGTACTTGGAAAAGCATAGTGTCATCCACCACACCTGACGTAGCAGGCCATATTAGGAGATTCAGGAGAGGTTGTGTAGGGTGTGCTCTTGTTTCCTTGGTAAGCACCCTAAAATCCACATGACCCAGCCTTATTTTGATATCAGATTTCTGGAAGCCAGCATGGGGTGCAGAGGTTGTGATGACTTTTGAAACATCAAAAAAGGTAGTATTGTGAATATAGTGGACAGAGCCCGGACATGTGGAAGGCTGAAAACAATGGGGGGAAGGGTCTTGAGAGGGGATGCAACCCCTCCCCCCACAGGGCCTCTACACACGGCCCATTTTGGGTGGCTCTGGGCCACCCCTGTTAGTAGGATCAGAGCTGCAGCAAACCCACACTGTGGCCCTGATCCTCCCTTTTGCTGACCCCAAAAGAGTGTGTGAAGACACACCCAACTAAAGGTGGTGGCAAATATGGGTGTGCAATTCCAGTACCCTGGTGAAATCAAACTCTTTTACCCAAAAAGGCTCCAATGCTGAATGTAAAGTCCAAAAAGGGGGAAATTTATTTTGAAGAACAAAAGAAAAGGGTTTCACCTCCCCAGCTCTAACAGGCTTAAAATAAAAGGTACTTTACAGTTTAGGTTTCAGCAATATTCAGGGCTGTAATCTCTCTGGGTTTGATCTTGATTTGATCTCCTATTCAATGAAGCTGGTGCAGGGTCTTTCAGCTTCTGGTGCTCTTGACTTCTTTATTGTTGATGTTTAATAGAATTAACTGCTTCTGATAACTAAATTAGCTAACTGGTAAGTAAATAAATTGGCTAAAAGGTGTAAGAAATGCCCTTTCCGTCTGTCTGTGCATGTTTGCCACCAAACAGATAAAGCAAAGCCTGCCTAAGAAAAACTAAAAATCCCAAGCTGAAGCAGAGCTTGCTGGGAAGGGGCAAACCAAAAACTAGAAAAATGCAGGGGATTCCTACAGCTCCTCTCACAAACGAATACAATGGAACATTCCTATGCTCAAACATACTAAGAACTGACTAAAAATGAAGGACAATGCAGGGGAGAGTTTAAACAGTCCAGGCTGGACATCACAGAGAGGTAAAATGATGCTCCTTTTAGGGGCAGCAAAAGGCTGCCCTAAGAGCCAGCGACATGGCTCTTCCGTGCCCTATTAGCACAGTGTGTCTACATGCTGCACCATTAGGGCGTCCTGATGCTGTGTGCCGTGCGTAAGGGCACGCTGAGTCAGGACAGCATTGCAATGGACTTGAGATGGTTGGTGTGCAGCTGCCCCATCCTAACTCAATGCCCAGGCCAGCCCATTAGGCCGGTCTGCAATATCCCGCACACTGTATTTCTTACAGAAACTGAATATCAAAACTTGAGTTCTGACAACTAGATCAAATGAAACTGGAAATCCCTTTCCTCCCTTAATGCAATGTTTCCCAAACTTTGGTCCTCTAGATATTTTTGGACTTCAGCTCCTAGCCCTCCTGACTGTAGGCCAAGCTGGCTAGGCCTTCTGAGAGTTGAAGTCCAAAACAACTGAAGGACCAAAGTTTGGGAATCACTGTCCTAATGTGTTCCTAAAAACCATTCTGGGGGTACTCCAGATCTTGTCAGGGTGTTGTGAAGTCAATGAAGCCATTATCAGTTAAATTAGCCTTTTTCATCTTTTGGGATATCAAAGCAAGCCACCAAGAACCCTTCTGGTCCTTCCAAAGGGCTATCAAATCTTTGTTTCCCATGAAATCACCTTGGTCGAAGGCTACTTTAAAGATATAAATATGCCTAGCCTCTTTGCTGCAGTCGATGTACCCTGCTTTCCTAGTGGCTGTTGCCCTTAGATGGAGGTCTCAGCCATTCCTGTTGTCCCTGGACTCAGTTTGATTCTCTCCTGCTTCCCATGGACCATTCTTCGGGATAAGTAAATATTACCCTTCAATCCAACCTTAAATTGCTTCCTTTCACTTTTCTATTCCAGTTAGCTCTGTATGCTAGTTGTTTAAGTCTCATACATGTGGTCTTTCATATTCTTCCCTAGTAATGGTTAATTAGTTTGTTCATGCCTGGATTATTCATCAGTCACCTAGTTGGTGCTTCAATCCTGATGTTATTACCTTCTTGCAAAACCAAGTCAAATGCCCCCAATTTATTAAAGGTAGAGTGCTACTAGTGTGAAGGCTCTCCAAACCTGTGCATCTTTGTGGGTAACATCTTTATCAGAAAACAACAACCAGGGAGTCCATCAGGAACAACAAGGAAGCCACTACCACTGCCAGCTGAGATGACTGCCTCATTTTACCATTAGTATGGCCCAACCCCATGGGCACATGAAGATGTTTTCTGTCCTCTTCACTCTGTTCTTCCTTTTCTTACTCCTTTATGATGTTTACTTTGAGATGATTGAGATAGTGCTGGTGAGGGAGAAATAATGAGCAATATAATTAACTCAATAATGTAAATACTTTATTTTTCCCCAAACAGCTTCTAGACTTTCCAAGGCATTATGGAAATTGAAGGCACTGTGAATAGAATATTCCTTTCAGTTATTTCTTTAAGGTGGGAAGGAGGTGAAGATCCAAGTAAGGACAACATTATTCATGCAAAGCTACCCTCCCTATGATGTGATCTTATTTTCCCTGAGTGATGTCACAGAAAAATTTTATTGGCTACATCAGTTGTAGCCAACTGTAGTCATTGTACTTATTGTTTTAACCCTAAAATCACTATTTGAAGGAAGAAGACATGATAATTTAAAGAAAATACTAGTACCAAGGCAGGAGATAGTTACAAAAAGAAGAGGTTAGGAAAGGGCAGAGATTAAGATAAGAAAAAGGAGATTTTCAGATACAAAGTTTGCTTCTGAGAACCATTATTTTCAGTCTAATCTCCAATTCAAACTGGATGAGGATGCAGTCCTAATTATGATGAGGAATAATTGCCAGCTAGGGAGACTTTAGAACATTATAGAGATTCATACCAGATTTAAGCTTTATGGCTGGCTGCTTCATGACAGTCATGTGGATTCATGCCCTGAAGAGGCTAGATATTTTGCATTCAGCCATTACAGTGTGTGTTAGGATGAATTTTTAAATGATGAGCTGGCAAAAAGAACATAAAACTCTCAAAACAGTGACATTGCCATTAAATTAGTGTTTTTCACTGTGAAGCCTATTCTATTATTTTCATCTGCAGTCATTTCTGTCACAACAATTTCACATTCTATTTCTGAAGACCTGAAGGGACTGTTATGTGCTCTTACTGTAACCCACGATAACAGTAAATTTCCTTGGGCAGTTCTGGCACTGAACTGTATAGCATGTTGTTACATAATCTAGGTAATCCTTCATAAGCAGTATAACCAACTCAGTTAAATATGTTGTCATCATTTGACGTTTCAGCTGAACAAATGCACCTTCCCAATTATGTACTTATCTCAATGACTGTATCCTAGTCAGTCTGTGCATTACTGTTGCTGTGTGCTTTATGTCATTTCCAACTTATGGTGACTGTAAGGCAAACCCATCACGGGATATTCTTGGAAGAATTTGATCAGAAGGGGTTCTCCCTTGCCTTCTTCTGAGGTTGAGTGAGTATGACTTGCCCCAGGTCATCAAGTAGGTTTCCATGGCTGAGCAGGGATTGAAACTCCAGAGTTGTAGTCCAATGCTCAAACCATTACATGACATTCACTGGGGCATTTAAAACCCACTATTATCTTGAAGAGGGCACCAGTGTGGTATAGTGGTTTGAACATTGGACTATCTCTCTGGAGATCAGGGTTCAAATCCCAGCTGGCCATGGAAACTCACTGAGTGACCTCGGGCAAGTCACAGGGCCTTTGTGAGAATCACAGGGAATCATGGGAATTGTATTTTTTTCTGAGACATTGAGCCTTCTTTGTCAGAGAGCTCTGGTACCACAATAAACTACAGTTCCCATGATTCCCTAGTACTGAGTCAGGGCAGTTAAAGTGGACTCAATTTACACTATTTCTGGCAGTCTGCAAAGGCCCACACACTCTTAGCCTCAGAGGCTAGCAATGGCAACACCCCTCTGAACAAACCTTGCCAAGAAAATTCATGATCTGTTCACCTTAGGGTCACCATTAGCCAGAAACAACTTGAAAGCACATAACAACAATGGCAACAACATTATATTGAGGAAACATCTGATATTTAAAATGCAAAGAAATCTCCAAGAATGATATTATTCATCCACATGTTACAAATATAATGTAACTTAATAACTTAATAACATGATAAGTATAATGTGACATATTTATTTTACTTATTGAAAAAGTTTATAAATCACAGATATTTGGTTATTTGTAATGAGTTACTTCAAACTTTATCCCTCCATAACCCAAGCAGTTTTCCAAGTTTAAACACTGACTAGATTTTTAATAGACAGAACAGTCAACAAATATTTAATCACATAAACTTTCAAAGCATTTGGAATTTATCATCCTTGAAATGCCTAGAGAAGGAAATGTTCAAGAGGGAGAAGAGGTCAGCAACAGATTGGTAGCAAGTATGTGTAGAGGAAGACTACATATGTGGGGGAAGACAACATTGACTACATGCCAATGTAGTAATAAACATTTTTTAAAAAGTGGTCATATTGGAAACATTTATTCAGGGGTGGGAGCTAGGAACCAACCATGGCCTCCTGGATCTGCACACTTTTTATTTGGATTGGGCCCCTGATGAAAATTATCTCCCAAATGCAAGATGCTTTTTGGGGATGGAGAATCCATGTTCCTAATTGTGGTGAGTGGGGGCAAAGTTGGTTCTTGGTTACAATATAAGTGGGCATTTTAAGCTGTCTAAGTAGTTTTGCTCTTCTCATTTGAGGAATAACACTGGGGAATGTTATAACACCAGCACCTGTTTCAAAGTCTGTTTATGTCTACATTAAATCGCATGGCTAGGTTTTGAAACATGGTAATTTCCAGTGTACACAGACCACACTGAATTTGGTGTTATTAGACAAGCGGCACAGCTTTGATTGCAGGTCCATACCTTAGCATGAGAGTCAGTGGCTTGAGTTTTGGACCAGGACTCTGGGATACCTGGTTCTGAATACTCATTCAGCCATAGAAATCCACTGGTTGACATTAAAGGACTTACACTTCCCTCATCATCAGAGGAAGGCAATAGCAAAGCTCCTCTGAATAAATCTTCCCAAGAAAACCCTAGGAGGAGCTTGTCATAAATTGTAGTTGACTTGAAGGGATATCACAGCACAGCAAACTTTGATTCAGCTGAGGATTGCACAGAAGGCAGTAGTGCCATGATTCCACTGCAGATGCATCTGCATTGCAGAAATAATGTAATTTGACACCACTTTAACTGTCACTGCCCCATCCTATGGAATCCTGGATTTTGTAGTTTGTGGCAGCACCAGAAATCTCTGACAGAGAAGGCTAAATATTGCACAAAACTACAAATCCCAGAATTCCATAGCACTGAGCCATGGCAGTTAAAGCAGCGTCAAGTGCAGAGTAAGCCAGTGTTGCTTGTAACATTACGTTCTTAAGGAGATGAAGGCTATCTTTGGGCCTGATCCTAGCAAGCCCAGCCTAGACTAGAGTTCTTTGTTATGGGTGTGTGGAACATTAATATAGGACCAGATTTCTTTGGTTCAAGAATGCCAAAGCTTTGGGGACAATAGTAACCCTTTTAGGAGAAGGAGATAGATGTGGCTTTAGTAAGCTGTGCAGGACTGGATTGTATCCTGTATTTTCATAGCTAACTTCTCATAAGATTTGACCTGCTCACCTTTAATTGAAAACACAGATGGGATTATGTTAAAAGGCATAACTTTTAAAGTATGCTTTATTTTTTTCTAATTAGCTCATTTTGTAGGGTTGCCTCCAGGGGAAAGGACCAACAGAAATTCAGAATCAATAGACAGTAATCAGAAACATGCAGAGGGAGGAAAGTAGACACAGTTTTGTGCCTGAGGAGCATGGAAAGGACAATTTAATATATCACAGTCCAAACCTGGACCTAGGGTAAAGCAGATTAAATGCTTGCCTTGAACCCGATGTTTCAAAGGGGACTTGTGTTGATTGCTAGGGGACAGCTGGAGGCTGGAGTGAGGAGCTTCATTCAAATCAATCCTTTGTTGAGCTGTCCTCTAACAGAGGAGCACAGATAGCATCAGAATGATGCAGTTGCCACCCACAGTGAAGAAAGGAAAAAACAAAAATGTCTTTGGAAAGGTGCAATGTGACAAACAAAGGAGGCTATATAGGGAGTACACTTTGGGGACACTGCCTTTTTACAGGGATGGACAGCTTGTGCCCCTCTAGAGGTTGGACTGCAATTCACACACACACATACACACACACAAATGAATGTTGCTTGAACCAAACGAAACCAAAAGAACAAGAAAACATACATATGTTTGTGTGTGTGCTCATATATATCTAGTGAGACAGACAGGCAAATATATACACATTCTCTTTCTCTCTCAATAAAAATTCTCACGTGTTGTACAAATATAAATAACTGTTAAAACTGTTAATTTAATTATGTTTGTCAAATAAATAAGAGAGGAAACAGAAACAAACATCATGCACAGGTCACATGCACAGGTTATGTTCCATAAGTGACCTTCCAAATGTCATCATAAGAATTCCAGGAGTCCCAGGTAGTATAGGAGTTTTGGAACTATCCATTCTGCATCATCTTCAGGGCTGTATGATTCCCACCCCTGTTGTAGACAGATGTTTTGCCTCATGTACTAATGCTTGATGCATTTCATTAAAACTATTTTTTTTCAGTGGCAGTGAATAAGAGTAAATATCTTGTTCCAAGATATCAGATATTGGTGCAAAAAAATCTTCACTTCTGGAAACTTGTCTCTCTCATCAGGTGGCAAAAATTCTAAAATAGAAATTAAATAGAAATACTACAAAAGTACAAAACAATGCAAATAAGCAAACATGTACCTTAAAGCCAAAGAGTTTAAAATTAATAATCAAATATTCATACAAATTCAGGCAGTGGGTTGTGTCCTAGGTCACAGCACAAACTGGGGGGCAAACCCTTCAAGGAAATGTTTTGTTATTGTTAACTGCCATCAAATTGAACTTAAGACTATCTGAAAGATAGAGCTGGTAGCATGAGCTTTTTGTAGACTTGAGTCTACTTCCTTAGATGCATGTGTTAGAATGGAAAGCCCATGGATAGACCTATATAGCAGTCTGTGGGTAAAAATGTCCATAGGAATGCAAAACTTTATGAGTGTGGAGTGTGGTTAGCTAGTGTTATAATGTGTGTAGTGTGCCAGGAAACTATTGTCTCTATTCGACCCACCACTGATTGACTGCATATATTCCAATTCTACTGTTTTTTGTTCCGATTTTCCTTTGTAGTTTTTTTTGTTCAAGGATCGCTGTATGAGATGGAAAGCCCAGGAAGATTGAAGTGTTATGCAACTGGATTTTGTGAATTCCTATTCCTAATGTCTGATTTATACCCAATTTAACCTCTGGTGCAAGGACCTGCCTGATCTAAAATTAAAGAATAAAAGAGATATTGCAGCTCCTCAAACCACTGTTACTCATGAAGCAACGTGAATTCAAAGGGGCTGTGTGGCTGGCCATTTACCTCCATATCCAGATGGCATAATTCCTCTTAGCCCCTCAGAGATCATTTCTGCTGTGAAAAGGCTTTTTCAGCCAGGCTCCTTATATGAATTAAAAACCTAAAAAATCATGGGAAACTTTTAAAAGAAGAAATTTATGACATGAAAATATTTTGGTCTTAATTTTGGTTTATTTCTCCAAATTTCACCTACATCCAGCCTCCAGTCAAAAAATCGTTGTTCTGTATTAGGTTGCAAGACACTGCAGGTTTTTCCCCATGCAAATTTATGTACATATTTTAAACAGATTTTCCCTAAAATAATCATTTATTTATAAATTTAAGCTAAATTGTGTGTGTGTGTATTTGTTCCATTGTATATCCTTCAATCGTTTGCATTTTTAAAAATATGTGCATTGTTTTCTGCATAGTTTTTGATTTGCTGAATGGTCTATGATTTTTGGGCTGCATTAATAGAACCATATTTTCCCAGCAATTATTCTGCTTTATCCTGAACTAATGAAATCTCCATCTAGAGTCCAGTGTCCAATTCTAGATGCAATATTTTAAGAAATAAAAAAAAAAAACAAATTTGAAGGCATTAACAGAAGTACAACAAAAATACTCGTTGGTATGAAAAATATACCCCCATATTCAGCTGACTGAATTTTGTGAAGCCAACATTTTGTTCATTGTAAACATGGCCTCTAGGCAACCAATACAATCATCAGTGCCAACATACAAATCATATAGACTTCGTAAGTAGAAGCAGAAGATGGAGAAGTTCAATTCTCTCTGCAAAAACAAGACAAAGAGCATATTGTGGCACAAACTGTGATGTGCTAGCACCAAAATTAGAGTAGCTTAAAAGCTTTAAAAAGAACACTAAATTAATCATTGTGACAAAATACAACCTTTAGAACATATCTGAAGAACATCCTTCTAGAATTTAAAGAACATGTATAATATAGTTTTGCATGATTAAGATTAACTTCAGTTTTCTGGACTGAAGCCAGAGAAACTATGAGGGAAGAATGCAAAAAGACAATATCTCTAGCCAAAATGAAAGAAAAGCCTAACTGGATGACAGATGAAATTCTATCAAGCAGTTAAGGACAGACAAGAAGCAAAAGTAAAAGGTGACTGAAATAAAGTCAGAAACCTGAATGCAACTGTTCTCAGTTACTTATCTACAGAACACAC